TTTTTGGCTGCCCATGTGTTGCGGCAGCTAGCGCAAATTCCAAGAATTTCTGCATACATGTACACACACACATTCATTCGCGTCTGCTTTGAATTCTATCAACAGCATTTTAATTCCGATTGTATTGTTTTCTGTGCTGCTAATTTTTATTCGTTTTTTCTCATTAACTCTCAATAATTGGTGTGGCTGTTGTGTAGAGGCGTCGGCAAGTAGTGCGGTCTGTTGCGAGTTCGAACCCCACCGAGGAAACCATTTTTTATCTTTTTTTTGCTGGTGTAGCTGTTGAGTAGCGCTAGCTACTGTTGGTGTTGGAATAAGATTGTTCAGGAGATCCCCTAGTCGGGAGCTCCGGACTAGAACCTCTCACTTGTTTTGCTTAAACTTGTGAACAATCATGTGAGGAGGCCAAAATTTGGGATCGCAAATAATTGGTAACGAATAATGTGAAACATTCATTTTAATGCTGCGATTTCACGAGGAGTGGAGGTATTAAATTTGGTTATTGATATGGTGGAAGAAGATTTGCTAGCAATACCAATGACTCACAAGTAGTGTCAGACGAAAGTCGGGACACAAAAACTTGCCTACGAAGGGCTACAACAGTCAAAATAGGAGCTGATGGGGCTCAAGATAAAACAGGAGTTGGTGAGGCACCGTGATTGCTTTTAACAATCTAGGCTAGATTGCGCGCTATACTACCTTTGCGGCCAGAAACTGACGGTGCTGAAGCAGTTTCAGTGACTAGGGCAGGATCAACTATAGGGTCTACTGGAACAACTCCAGGGGATACCACAGGAGGAATATTTGAACAATCGCTTGGAGCAGTCGATATTGACAACATTGGGGAATTGATTTCTCACAGAATTATACATTCTGGACAAATAAATGTTCTTGTCGACGCATACTGGGCACGACCAACACACGCCGCTGTAGCCCTTCTTGGAAATGGCAGTGATCTTGTCGCAATGACGCACAGTGAGACCTGCACATTTAGATGCAAGATATTAACAAATTGTGCAAGGTTTCTTACAGCACATAAGTTGCGAGAGCTTATCGAAAAACGGTGAATATAAATAGAGCAAGCAAGCGCTCAAAAAATATTCGTACAGAAACAAATTATTGTTTGAAGAAAAAGGCAACAGCAAAAATTTTTCAAATCGCGATGCACCAGTAGAAATATGCACCAGCGAACACACGCACAATCAAGTCTATGCTCAGGGGAGCGCCAAAACAAAAGAATCAAAACAGACACTAACAACAACAAGGAACTGACGCCGCGTTCAATAAAATGAAATAATTCATAGACTTACGCTGCACAACAGATAGCACTTTGCACTAGAAATTAAAGCTTTTTAAATAAATAAATGCAAAATGTAGAAACAGAAGCCGAATGGAAGCGCAAAAATATATAAAAATCTTGGAGCACAAGTAAAACACTTCAATCACTCTCAACTGAGAACTATCTCATTATAGAATTGCACAAACCCATAAAGAACAAAATTAAGTCTTATGTAGACAACTTAATACTCGAACAAATTTTAGAACCGTCTGTATCAGAATACAACAGCCCACTTTTACTGATACCTAAAAAACCTTTACCAGGTTCCACTGACAAAAGATGACGACTAGTAGTAGGTTATCGTCAGATTAATAAAAATTAAGCTACTTCCAGAGAAATGCTCATTTTTCATGAACGAAGTAACTTTTCTAGGTTACAAGTGTACTGACATAGGTAACTAACCAGGTGACAAAAAAATCGATGTAATTGAGAAATACCCAGTCCCAACGGACGCTAGCGCTAGAAGTTTGGTTGCATTTCGCAATTATTGCAGAAGTTTTATCAAAAATTATGCAAAAAGACTGTAAAATTCGAATGGACAGCTGAGTCAGCTTCTCAATAGCTAAAAGGAGAATTAATTTAGACATCATTGCTACAATACCCTGAATTTAGAGAAAAAGAAGAAAAAGAATTTTAGAGCAAAGAATTTTGCATTAAAACCGATGCAAGTAAGCAAGCGTGCGAAGTAGCATACGCCTCAAGAGCCTTAGCAAAAGGCGAGACCGCAAAATCAACAACGGAACAAAAGTTAGCAACTATCCACAGGGCAATAAAACATTTTCGTCCATACGTATATTGCAAACATTTCATAGTAAAAACGGATCACAGACCATTAACTTACCTCTTCCTAACAGTAAACCCAAGTTCAAGACTAACACGAATAAGGTTAGTAGAAGAATATTAATTTTCAGTATAATATCTTAAGGGTAAATTGAACTATATTGCAGATGTGTTATCAAGAATAAGCATCAAAGTATTAAATGAAATGAAATATCAAGTATTCAAAATCACTACAAGACAGCAAAGCAGACAAAATAAATTCTGGGCAGGAGATAATAATGAAAATAAACAAGAAAATTTACCAAGGCAAAATCTTGAAAATGCTTCTATGCCCAACGTATATCAAGTCATTAAGAATGACGATGTGCGAAAAGTAGTGACCTTGCGATTAATACCTATCAATTGTTTACTAAAACATGGTAAAAAAGTTATAGGAAGAATTGAGATTAGCAATCTATATACTAATAGAATTCTCGACCTAGGTCAATTCTTCCAAAGGCTTGAAACAGAAGCCGGTATAAATAAGATAAGCCAACTCAAAGTGGCACCGAGCGAAAAGATCTTTGAAAACACTTAAATAGATACTTTAAAAAATATGGGCAATATGTATTTAAAGAACTTAAAAGTAGCGCTAATCAAGCCGGTGACCCAAATAAATACAGATAAAGAAAAATAAGCAATATTGTCTACATTCCATGATGAACCCATGCAAGGAGGTCATACAGGCATTTCAAAAGCATTATCAAAAATTAAGACATTACTATTGGACAAATATGACACGTCATATTACAGAGTACGTACGTAAATGTCAGAAATGTCAAAAAGCTAAAATTACCAAGCACACTAAGACCCCTTTAACCATTACAGAAACACCAATAAGTGTTTTCGACAAAGTACTACTCGACACCATTGGTCTACTAAGTCAAAAAATTGTAACAAATATGCAGTCACGATTATTTTTGATTTATCAAAATATCTTGTTGCCATACCTATAGCGAATAAAAGTGGAACAAGCGTAGCGAATGCTATGTTCAAATCCTTTATTCTAAAGTACGGTACAATGAAGACGTGCATTACGGACATGGGTACTGAATACAAGAATTCCATAATTAACGACTTTTGTAAATATCTACAAATATACAACATTACGTCTACAGCAAAACAATGAGAATATTGTGATAGGAATGTGTCTGATTTTAAAATTAAATTAGGAGACCACCAAGTATTACTAAGAAATGAAACAGGTCATAAGCTAGAAGGAAGGACCCTTTAAAATTATAATAATTGAACCCAATGTTTATAATACCATAATAGATTATAAAAATAAAAAACCAAAAAGTACATAAGGATTGATTCAAATTGTTTTACACTTAACATTTAATGTAAATTTCTCTAGAGAAGGATCTGATCAACCATTATCAAAAAAAAGATATTAAAAAAAAACTCGTAATTTCCAAAAAAAAAAATAAAAAAAAACAATAACAAGAATTTTAAAACTTTACGCAACAAAACTAAACAAAAAATTATTTTTTTTTTAAATTAATTTTTTAATTTTTTTAAACATTGATATAATTCATATAATTACGTTATTTCTTTTAAAAGGGGAGGTGTAGTTTATTCATAAACATGCGTATTGTAACACTTTGTTACAAGTTTAAATATTGCAATTGACAACAATGAATATAAACAAACAAAACAAAACATAAGCGCAAGTCAGTAAGTAGCTCGATCAAATGTAATATGATCAGCTACTTGTCGGCCACCGTCTTATGCCGTCTTACGGCATGGCTGACCATGGCTCCCACGGGCACTTGCTAACTACTATAGCGCTCTCACTGCACGACACTTTTTGAATGGAGATGCAGCGCGCTTTGCTTGAGCGTGAGATTATCACCAACAACATCTCCAACTTAGATCATTACGACCAGATTACGGCTGTCAAACAATAATTTTGGCCTAGTTGGTCTGCCGAGTACGTGAACGAGCTTACAGCTAGCACAAAGTGGACTTCGGCGCTCCCAAATGTCACTTTTGGCTCTATGGTTCTCATACACGAGGACAACACTCCGCCTTTGCATTTGAAATTAGGGCGTATTGAGTTGGTTGTGAGTGGCAAGCATGACCGTGTTCATGTCGCACACATTCGCAAAGCCCCCGGTCTCATTTGGCGGCCAGTGCTCAAGCTGGCTGTTTTACCCGTGTCTTGAAAGATAGTTCTTTCATGGCGGTCGGGATGTTTGGTCATATACCTCATTTGTATACCATTTAGGGTATTAAAGTATGCTTACATTCCATCAGATGTTCAAGATAACCGCGTTACAAGAACTACAGTAACACACAGTCGTTGATGTTCGGAGCCCTCTTTTGTTTTATAGATATATGCTTATCGATTATGTGAATCGGTTTTTAATGTTGTCTAATTTTCGTTTGCTGCAAAAGATACGTTTTGATCATTGATGCCAATTACTTAACTCAAAAATAGGGCAGATTGAAAATGAAATATACGATTGAAAGCAGGAGAATACTTATATTTTTAATACTGTTTTTACCAAAGTAAATAGGCTGAATATGGCCGCCTTCGACTACGTCAACACAACAAATTTAGCAGTAAGTCATGGATCACGGCTCATCTACGTTATGGTTGAATACAATTTAAGCAGAGGTAATATGGACAAATCTACCAAAACGAAAGCCAGTGTTTGAATATTTACCTTTGTGCAGTGTATGCCTGCTAGCATTATGACCAACATTAACCTTGAGGAAGCTAGCTTAAAATGTAGCTTTCAATAAAATATGTCAGTGCAATTATACAACTAAATAAAATGAATAAGATGAGAAATTTTCAGTTTTCTTTGATATTTTTTTTTTATTCATTTTTAAGTTTTAGGTTTAGTTGATCTGTCCTTTTTTTGTGAGAGGTATTTGGCAACACGGAGCAGCACTCCAGTCAGGATGAGCGAATGAAGTAGTTAGTAATATAAGGGACCTATTTGTTATTAGAAATATATTCATAGAAATTAGAATTAATAAACAAAAACATAAATAATGTTCACACTATTCGATAGATTTAAGCGATCTACATATTTAAAAATAAATCAAATTGTTACCAGATATTTATTATTGTATATTGTGTTGATATTTTGTACCTTTAACATCATTTTATCGGTTTTCGTTTGAACACTGCCACATACGACCAAGGCAACACAGCCAAGCAGTAGCTGCTATCATGTTATGACATTTTAAGTGGCGGTTTGAATGAGTTATGGTTGGATACAATTTTAGTTGGTGAAATCGATGTCGTATTAAGACATAAAGCAAAGATAGATTTCTGGATCTGCTTAACACTTTTCCGGTTAAGTCAGTCTGAACAAATAAGAAAGCTGTAGTTGAGAGTGCCCGACTAGGCACCCTAAACCTTCTACCAATAGTAAAAGTAGCTTGCGCTACGTGCCTCCTCAAGCTTTAGTCGGAAAATATGGGATATACTAACATCATACCAAAATCTTAACATAGTGGTACATAAACACAGAACAGTAGCATATACATCCCAATTGCAATTATAATATATATATATATATATATATATATACTCTCTCTCTTCCTCTTTCTCTCTCTTCCTCTCTTTCTCTCTCTTCCTCTCTCTCTCTCTCTTCGTCTGTCTCTCTCTTCGTCTGTCTCTCTCTTTCCCTCTTTCTCTCTCTTCCTCTCTCTCTCTCTCTCTCTCTCTCTCTCTCTCTCTCTCTCTCTCTCTCTCTCTCTCTCTCTCTCTCTTCCCTTTCCCTCTCTTGCTCTCTCTCTCTCTCTCTCTCTCTCTCTTCCTCTCTCTCTCTCTCTCTCTCTCTCTCTCTCTCTCTCTCTCTCTCTCTCTCTCTCTCTCTCTCTCTCTCTCTCTCTCTCTCTCTCTCTCTCTCTCTCTCTTTTCCTCTCTCTCTCGTCTTTCTCTCTCTTCCTCTTTCTCTCTCTTCCTCGTTCTCTCTCTCTCTCTCTCTCTCTCTCTCTCTCTTCCTCTCTCTCTTCCTCTCTCTCTCTCTCTCTCTCTCTCTCTCTCTCTCTCTCTCTCTCTCTCTCTCTCTCTCTCTCTCTCTCTCTCTCTCTCTCTCTCTCTCTCTCTCTCTCTCTCTCTCTCTCTCTCTCTCTCTCTCTTCCCTTTCCCTCTCTTGCTCTCTCTCTTCCTCTCTCTCTCTCTCTCTCTCTCTCTCTCTCTCTCTCTCTCTCTCTCTCTCTCTCTCTCTCTCTCTCTCTCTCTCTCTCTCTCTCTCTCTCTCTCTCTCTCTCTCTCTCTCTCTCTCTCTCTCTCTCTCTCTCTCTCTCTCTCTCTTCCCTTTCCCTCTCTCTCTGTCTCTCCCTCTCTCTCTTCCTC